TCCTCAGTACAGGTTGGTCTGCACACCAGGCCCCTGGTGCAGACTCAGGGGTAGAGGGAGGTGAGAGGCACCCAGTCCAAGACCTCCTTCCCCTCCCGCACAGCCAGCCCTGACTACCTTGTCTTTGGGTGTCTGTTTCTTGATGACCTTGGCAGCTAACTTGAGGCCTGTGGCTCTCTCTGTGCAGGTACAGACTGCTCCAAACTTGCCCCTGGAGAGAAAAGGCTGGGAGTGAGGGGTCCCAAGGGGACAAGCCCCGGGGGGGGTGGTGGCGGGAGGGCGGGCCTGTGCTCTGTTCCCATCTGGATCCCTCTCTCAGAGATGCGGGCACTTGCTCCAGCCAGCCCTGACTCCCTCCTGAAGCTGTGAGCCCTACAGCAGGGACAATGGTGAGCCACACAAACCATGGGCACAGGAGGTGGAGGCCCAGCTGAAGGAGAGCCCCTGATGTGACAGCTCACAGGCCTGGGGCAGGTAGGGGCCCTGGGGCTCTGGGTCCCAAGGGAGGGCACCTTCAGGTCCTTTTAAAGAGCACCTTGAGGGGGTCAGTGTGTGACTGAAACTGAGTCAGGAAAATACGGGAAACACTGAATGACCAGTGGTGTCTGTGCGTAACAGCAGCATGAGTACGTATCAGCCCATGTGACAACTTGCACACAACTGGTGGACTATGTGGTAGTAACCGTCTGTGGGTCACGCCCAAGCTAAGTGTGTTTGGGCCTTTCTGGGAAGATGTGAGGCCCTGGGGGCTCAGTGCCTCCCGCCCAGGGGCCAGGGCTGGGGCCTGGCCCTCACCCGCCCAGCGCGTCCTTGGAGTTCAAGCTGAACTGACTGTTGACATTCCCGGTCCTCAGCTCCACAATGCGGTGGGAGAAGGGGGCGGGGGGTGGTGGGCAGTCATCTGGGGAGGCAGAGCAGAGAGAGCATGGCAGTCAGCCCAGGGCTGCTGAGGGTCCACCTTGGCACCACACCTTCTGCCTGGCCTGGGTCCCATCCAAGGAAGTTCTCCAAGTGATACCTGGGGGCAGCTTGGCTCCAGGGTGGGGGAGGGAGCCCAGTCTCCAATTCCAGCTCAGCCACCAACACAAAATGGCTTTGGGCCTCTGTCAGAACTGGGGCTCAGCTTCTCTGGGCACAAAAATTGGCACAGCTGATTGGACTTCTCAGACCCTCCCACATTAAAAGGTATGAAGATTCCATCCTAAGCTATCTGCATTTTCATTTTTTTTTAAAAGGGGAGGTCTATAATAGTGGAGTACCGGGGTTACTTGTCTGAATGATGGCGCAGGTGAGGGTCCTGCCTACATCCCTCTAAATAACAGCACACTCTGGGCTGACCTGCGGAATGAGTGTCGGGAGACCGGGCACAGATGTTTGGTGGGGAGAGGCTGCCACCTGGCGACAACCACGGAGAACAGCGGGTTCTGGCCGCCGGCAGGCTGAGTCATGGGGAATGGAAACCTCCTTATAAATAGCGAGAGGGACGCAGGGAAGTCGGGCTGGTGATAAACCCGATGGCCCCTGGAGGTTGTTCAGGTTCTGTCCCGGGAGGATGTGATTTCTGGGAGGGACGGGCAGAGGTCTCAGGGGAGGAGGCAGGGTTCCTGGCTGCCGCCCCACCGCCAGGCCCTCCCACCCTGTCTGGGTGGCTCTGGGTGCTCACCAGGCAGGCTGGCGGGTCTCCCAGGGCACCTCAGCCTGGAGGAGGGGGTGGGGGGTGTCAGGACACTCTGGGCTCTCCTGACCCCATCTCACCCCACCCCCGGCCTTGCTGCAGGCCCGCTCCCTGTTACCTGCTCAGCAAACTCACTCATGCTCAGTGGCTCCTTGCGGCCCGTTGAATGAACCGCGGGCTCCTTGTCTGATGAGCAGTTAAGGCCACTCTACAGGCCTGCCCCATCTCATGTGCCCAGCTTCCTTGCTCACTGTTTCCTCTTCACGAACCCTCTGTGGCTCCCATGGCCCTCCTCACCTACTCCAGAATGCAGTTTAACTACCAAAACCTGGCATTTGAGCCTTTCTACAGACTGACTTCAAATCCCAACTATTCAGAGTTAGTGTTGTTCCAATAACCTTCCTGATTTTTTTTCAAAATCCCATTTTAGACAAGTAGAAGAAAATGAAAAGTGAGCCCTGGAGCCAGGCTGCTGTTGACGGATTCAAACCCTGTCCTATCTGTGGATTTGAGGGCACTGGTTCGATTTCTCCTTTTCCAAGCCTCCACTTCCCCATCTAACAAAAGGGACTAGGAGCCCGTACTTCCTGGGGTTGTGTGACTCTTAGATGGATCAGCCTGCATGAGGCATGGCTCAGAGCAGTTCAGTCTGCTAAATGGGGAGACTTGGGGAGGGGAGGGCCCTTCCTCCCCTCCTCCCTCAGCCCCGGGACAGCCCCAGCCCCCACCTGTCCCTGGCCTACCCAAAATCTGGAAGCAGTCCTCCTCCCTTGCTGTGAGACTGAGGGCCTGCCCCATCTCCGATCTCTCCGGGGAAACAGCCTGGAACTCAATCCCCCTCGAGGTGTCCCCTTGCACCTTAGCCTGTCCAGCCTGGCCTGGAGCCTTCTCTTCTGCTTCCTTCTGGCTGTCTGCCAGGATGTTCTTCCCTCCTTCCGCTGCCTTGGCTGGCCCAGGATCCATGGGGCCGGGGGTCATGGGCACCCCTTCAAAGATGAGCTCCGATGCCTCATCTGGGGGCTTAAGCCCAGCCAGCAGCGTCTCAGGGCTAGCATGTGAGAACACAGAGGTGGTGCCCTTAGCAGCCACAGCCCCACAGTGGCCTCTGGCAGATGAAATGCTTCCACAGCCTCATCTGCAATCTGGTACTAATACAATCCTGCCCTCCCTCCCCAAGCACCCCAAATACTTGCAGTGGTGCATCTGGATTCACTTTATATAAAATCAAGGAATGTTAATAACACCACAAATGTCTATGGTCATTATCTTGACTGTCAATGCACTAATAGGTCATTAGTAACTATTTATAGGATTATTGATTTGGTTGATCATCATGTGGCTAGAATTAGGGAGATTATGTAGCTGTTGATTCATAAAAACTGTGCCAAAGCAATTCATGTAATGAGATTAATAACTAATTCAAACAGGTATATTTATTAATATTGTGATTTACAATATATCATTAATAATTTCATTAATATGATTAGCATTCAGATAAGTATAATGGGGTTCACATACTACTGGTGCTATATTATGATTATGAAAGTGTTAGTAATAACCTAACAGTAAGGTTAATAGTCATCTTCCCATATTATACCAATAATTTTATTAAAAAGGGTTATACTTTCCTCCTGACATCTCAGCCCTGCCACTGGCTAGACCCAAGTAAGGGGAACTTGGACTCATGCCTAGAGAAGAGGTCTTTGGGGACCACTCCTCTCTGACAGTCCAAGCTTCTGCAAACTATCACTAAGTCCTGGTTTCTGCAGGGAGACACGGTATGAACAATGCCCAGGATGGAGGGAGCTGAACTTCAGAACGACCCAATGCACCGCTGAATGTTATGACAATGATGGCCAGGACAGAGAAGCTAAGCATGGCCCCTGGGGACAGAGTCACAGGACGTCTGCCTGCTCCAAGGCAAGGGGCATTTACCTTGAGATGATGGCAGGACAGCTGGGGCTGTGCAGAAAGGCAGGTGAGCCCCTCCTGGCTGTTGCTGGGCCCTCTGCCACCTTCTTGTGCACCTTGGTAGAGTCCTGGCTGCCTGAGGTCCCCTGCTTGGCACTGGGCTTCTTGTCACTGGCCTCTGCTGTTGCGGTCTGCTGGGGCAGGGCTGCCGGTTGCCCAGCACTGCCCTCCGCAGGCCTCCCACCCAGACCACCTTCCCCATCGGGGCCCTGGTTGCTAATCAAGGGTTGGGCCAGGGCACCACCCCTTTTCTCTAAGGCAGGGGGTTTGGCGTCTTTCTTCAGGGTGGGTGGATCAGGTTCTTTCTTTGCATCTGGGGGCCCAGGACCCTTCTCTGAGTCTGGGGGACCAGGGTCTTTCTCTGCAGTCGGGGGTCCTTTGCCTGCTGCACCTTTAGGTGCCTTGTCTGCAAAGGAGGTGAAACACCAGTCAGGATCCACTCCCCTCCCCTCCTTCCCCAGTGAGGCTAGCCAGAGACCAGCTCTGGGCCCAGCTCTCCACCCAGGCAACAATTTGCAAATGCTTATCCTGCTGAGCCTCTGGGGCTACTTGGTGGGCTCTAGAGATGGGCTGCCAGTCCTTGGAGGCCCTGTGTGGGAGGCTTCTGGTCCTCTGGTGGGCCTTGATGCCCCCACCATCCCTTGCCCTGAGTGGGTAGGTGCCATCCATAGAGGCTTTATAGCTTCCCAGTCTCTCCAGGGACGGTTTCATGGAGGCCCTTGACTTAGCCCATCCCTGCCCAGATTGTTCTGACTTCTGGGTCCCCCATGCACCATACAAAGAGGCCTTGGGCACAGAACTCCCACTGAGAAGCTAATGCACCCTGGATGCAAACCCCTTCCCAAGCTCCTCCCTCCATCTCCTGCCCCAGCTTGGCACCTGTTGACGGGCTCTGGATTCCCAGCTCGACTGCTCCTTTTTCTGTCGCCATGAGGTAGGGAGGCGTGTGCTTCTGCTTGTCTAACTCAAGTCTTTCTAGCTGCAGAAGGAAGAGTGAAGTGTGTCAGGCGGTTGGATTCCTCCTCTTGTCTGACTGAGAGGAGGCCAGGGCCAGCTGACTTCAGGGAGAGAGGTACCTGCGGCAGAGAGGGGTGACCTGGTGGCCGTCTGTCCTGCAGCAGCCACCCAGGAGCAGTCCTGGGGCAGTTGTAAGGGACTGGCCTGGGTGGGCAGAGGCGGAGGCAGGGGCGCAGGCAGGGGAGGCGGGGACGGAGGAGAGGATCTCTTACACCAGGGGCCATGCAGCTCGGACTGCCACCACCTGTCACTCTTGGCCCCCATTCAGAGGACACAGCATTCTTCCCACAGACCATGGGGGAGAGTGGTGCTGGAACAAGCAGGAAGAGAAGAGGGAGGGGGCACCTGGGGCCCTGGGGGAGCAGTCTTTTCCCAGGCCTTGCCTGGTGTCGCTGGCTTGCATGGGATCAGGAAGGGGGCCTGGAAGCAGAGGGGCTCTTAGGCAGAGCTGAAGGACAAGACTACTCCCAGGAGAGAGCCTGGCTCTGCACACCTGCCTGGCTCATCTCCTGGGGTTCCCCACAACCTGGTTAGAGCCACACTGGCCCAGGGATAATCACCCTGACCCCAGCACCAAGCTCTGTGCCCATGATCCCTGCCCCTGGCATCTGGAACTACTTGGAGCATCTTTGGGTAAGAAATTGTTTCGGGGCACTTGTTCAACATGCCCATGAGCTGGAAAGCCTTTTCTTTTGCAAATGTCTTTTTCTGGGACTCCTGGGGAGATGGAGGCTGCCCCAGGTGGCTGTGGGAGCCACTGTGGGAGCTTGTTCCCTTCCCCTGAGCTGATCCAGGTCTCTCCAGTGGCCCACCTGGGAGGAGAGGGCTTGGGGGGGGGGTCTTCCATAACCCTTCCACCACAGGGGTTACCAGGGGGCGCTCAAGCTTGAGGTGTGCAAGCTGAGATGGGATGGAAAAGGTGCGCTCCAAAGAGCGTCCCATCACCCGGGGGCTCTCTGCTCAGAGCTTTTCTCCTGGGTGGGAGTTTGAGAACTAGCTGAGCTGAGTGCATTGGAAATAGCTCTGCAGCAAGTGTCTGGGTTCAGGTCCTTCCTGTGGCCATCCATCGGTCTCTGTAAACTCACTCCCTGACCTCAGCGGCTCTGACTCTCCATTAGAGGGAACACCCCCACCCTCTGATAAGAGAGGGCGGGGAAATCCATGGAGAATGTAGCACGTCTAAGCAATGGGAAATTCTGCCTGTAGCTGTAAAAAAAGATTGAGGAAGCCATGAATGAACTGACATGAAGCAACCTCCAAAGTGGAAAAAAAATGAAACCAGGTGCAGAAAAGCATGTAGAGTATGTTTTCACATGGGCAAAAGGGGATAAAATACATAATATTTAACATAGTAAGATATAAATTTTCATTTCATACATATAAGAATTTCGTTGACAGGATGAGCAAGCAATGGGGAGCAGGGGCGGGAGGAAGGTGTCACTGCGTGCCCTCTTATTTTTTTATTTGAACCGTGAACTATGTGAATGGATTACTCTTCAAAATGAGTGATTTTTTTTTTAAGTGAGCAAATGTTGGGGTTGATGGTACAGACCAGTGAGAACCAGAGTCAGAGCTCTGTCCCCAGTCCTGAGTACCCGGGTTCTGGCTGGCCCCCTCCTCTGACCTGGCCCTCCTCGCCTCCATTTCTCTCTTGAGGGTCCAGGTGATGGCTTGCCTCTCCCAGGGAGTAAACACACTGACTGATGCCCACCCAGGACTCACCACGCACGGCAGGCCTCCTCCTGAGCGCTCTTACATAGGTTCACTCCTGTGATCTTCAGAAGAACCTGATGAGATAGGTAGGATTGCAGGTGGTGAAGGTGAGGCATGGAAAGGTTGAGCGGTGTGCCCAAAGCTTCACCGTGTGCCTGGGGATGAAGTGGGGCTGAACCCAGGCTCTCCTAAGGGACGAGAGTTCCTTTCTTTGAGGCCCTATAATCAGCTTTATCCACACTGTCTGCAAACAGCACCTTGGTAAGAACTCTACGGGGGCTTTCATCTTATTTTCTAGGTGAAGAAGGGGAGGATCAAAAGAAACTAACCCCTTTGCCCAGAGTCACTCCACCAGAAAGGGAGCTGAGCCAGAAAAGTCCTTCAAAGCCCTATTCCTCCCCTAAATTTCCCCAATCAGTGCCTTGGCCCTCTTGCCCCCCTGGATACCCCCGTTATGGGTGTCCTAGCATTCTGCAGGTTGAAGGGCTTCCCACCCATGCCTGTTACAGGAGCGTCGAGCCTGCTAATTGGTCATCCCCACAGCATGTGCTGGTCAAGCTTGAAATGTTGGGCCCCTGCCTCTGGCCTTCTTCAGCTCCAGCAGCTACCACCACTGACACTCTCTGGGAGCCCCTCGAGGACGGGGGCTGGTGATGGTCCTGGGTGTCATCAGCACAAACTGTGCTTGCTGTCCAGTGTTTGGTGAGCAAACAAATAACTAGGTGGCGAGCAAGGCCCTGCACTGGGTATACGAGATTCTGCTACCGGCTAGCCCTTGGCCTCAGTATTACTGTGGTTGCCAATGCCAATCGCTTATTGAGAGTGCCCACAAAACGCCAAGGGCTTTACCAAGCTCACTGGAGCCTCACAAGGGACTCTGGGGCCAAGACTCAGACCATTTTAAAGGTGCAGAAACTGATACCGAGAGCAGGTGAGAGGCTGATCTGTAAAGTCACACAGCTATCGAGTAGCTTCAAACTATCCAGATTCAAATCAGAGCCACTTCCCATAGAGACCAAAATCCAGGCTGGCAAAACATAAGAGGCTTTGTTTGCTGCATTTGTTACTGTGATGGTCCCCAAATAATAACTATCATTTCTTGAACTCTTATAAACAGGCAGGCCCTGGGGTAAGCAACTTCATGAGGGTCCTCCATTCAATCCTTACAACAATCTTCCCAAGTAGTGGTTCAGGGGCTCTGTCACTGAAGCTGAGACTAATGCCATCATTCGTTTCCTCATCTGTGGGATAAGCACCGTCCTCATAGGGAGGTATATAAAGCCCTTAGAACAGTGCATTTGTACCTAACAAGTGCTATGAAAGCACCAGCTACTTTATCCCCACTTCACGGATGTGACAGGAGAACTGAGTCACAGGGCAAACTCAGTCGGGCTTGGACCGTCTGACCCGCAGCTTAGCTCTGCTCTGTGACCTCCCCATGGGTGGCTGGGAGCATTTAGCAAACACACATCTGGTTGAGAACTTTTCATAGTACCCACAGCACTGCGGGTCGAGATAATGTGGGCACCCTAGGTAGGGGGCTTGGCTGTCCCAGCAGACTCCTCTGTGGGTCTGGGATGAGAGGCTGGCCTGGCTCCGGATCCATGGGATTGCCTGCTGCTTGCTTGCCCGCTTGGCCAGCTGCTCCCTGGGAGTCCCCGAGCTGCTGCTCAGCGCTCAGTTGGAGAGGTGGGGCCTGGGAAACCACCCCTCCACCCAGGTGGGCGCTGCCAGAACTTAAGAGGGGGCTTTCCCACCTTGTGCCAGCTGTGCATCCACCCCCTTTGCCTCTACAAGGCTAGGGCATGGAAGTGGGGCAATGCCAGGGCCAATTAAGCCCATCAGGGGAATTAAGGTCAGCAGGATGCAATTATGCTTGTTGGATTTAACAAGGCCAGAGGGAAGCTTTCTCCAGCCAGAGTCAACGGCTCCTTAGGCCTCTTGCCCTGGATGGCTTTGCATTCCAGGAGCCTGGGCTCCCAGGCTCACCAGCCCTGGAAGACTTTCTTGGGAGAGGAGGGGTTAACTTCACCCAGGCACTGCTTCCTGGCTCCTGGGAGGAAATCGATCCAGCCAAGAGGCTTTAAAAGGACCTGCTCAGAGGAGACATTTCCCGACCTGACCCTCTCTCCCTGCCTGGCTGTGATGGAAAATCCAGGGAGTTGAGCAATGACCTTTCTGGTTCCAAAGAGAGCAGCCAGCTCCCCTCTCAGCTCTCCTCTGGTCCCGACACGGGAGCAGCTCAGGGCTGTTTTCTCCTGCCTTCTCCCACCTGGGGCTCCTAAGCCCAGGGATTCGGCGGGACCTCTCCGGCCTCTGGGGAAGCCCTAGGTTAAATGCCGCTGTCCTTGGAGCCCACCTGCCTTCCCTCCAAGGCTGGCAGAGATGTGTGGACACTGTGGCAAGTTGGACGTAGATTTCTTTAGATGCTCAAATGACACACTGATCCATCCCCAAACTGTAGAGTTCTATTGTTAAGATTATTTACTGAATGCTCTGCTCTGTGGCAAGGACTAAACTGATCACTTAGGAAACAGAGAAAAGTGGAGGGAAAGCTACAGAATCACCACATTGTGCATTTTAGGTGAAAATGATTGTTAAACTATTCATGAAATAGGATCTCCTTTTTTGTTGTTAAAAACATTTATAGGTAAAGTGTCTGGAGGGATCTAAATATACATATTAACAAGTATAGGTATGGAGATAATTTTTATTCTTTGGATTTTCCAATTTTTTTTGAAATGACCATTTGCAACTAAGCAGATTAATGCATCATTTGAAACATATCAACATGGACACAGATTTCTACAATTCAAGATAGAAAGCGGTTAAGAGCTCTATCTGAGATATAAAATATCATGGGATTTCAGAGGTGGAGTCTTTGGGATTGGTGATCAGGGATGACTTCTCAGCCAAAGGGGTGGCTATGGAGGGCTTTCTCAGTGCCCAGGCCCCAGAGTTTGTCAGAATGAAGCCTCTTTGGAAGGGGGGCCCAGGAATCTGCCTTTTAGGTGGTTTCTGTGTGCACACACCTCTGAGAACCCCAGAGCCAGAGGGCCAGCTTTGAGGTACTCCTGCTAAGAGTCCTGCTGGTGCAGCTAGCAGAGCCTCCCAGGACACAGATCCCTCGAGAGCCTGGGCCATGCTCTCGAGCACATGGGAAACACCTGGAGAGCTTCCACAACCCCCCTCAAGTCTGAGCCCTCCTGAAGTCAGGCCAATTAAATCAGAATATTTGGAGGTGGGGCCCAGAATGTTGCTATTTTTAGAATCTGCCCAGAAGATCCTGATGTGAAGTCAGGGTTGAGAGCCACTGCTCTGACACTCTCCCAGGACAGGAATTTCATGTCATTTTCCTGCAATGCCTCCACAAATCAGGGGAAAGCAGGCACATGGCAGGTGTTCTGTTCTAACTTGTATTGACTGTGTGCACTGTGCCACTATCTGGGGCTCTGGGTATCCAGATGCCAGCTCAGAACGGACAGACCATGTCAGTCAACTTTGTATCCTAAGGACCTAGTACAAAAGTGGTGCTGCTATTAATAATAACTGCCACTAATATTTATTGTAAATTTACTATGTGCTGTCTTAACTCCTATAATCTTCATAGCAACCATACAAAGTGGATACTATTATAACTCCCATTTCCAAGGGGAAACTGAGGCACGGAGGAGTAAGTTGCCCAAGGTTTCAGAGATAGTATTCCAGTGGTACTGGCATTTAAACTCAAGCCAACTCCAACTGGCTCCAGAGCCCTCGTGCTTACTCCATACCACAAAGTAAATGCCAACGAAAAAATCAATTTGTGAGTGAAGAATACTTAAGACTATGGAATCAACTTGGTAGTCCCAAGCCCTGACATTCAGTAGGTGCTATGCAAATGTGGAAGAATGAATGTTCCTACTTTGGTAGGGCCCTGGAACAATGGGAAACCAAGACAAGCACCTCCTTTACTCTTTTTTCCTCTCTCCCACCTCAGCCCAACTTCTCTGCTGCATAAACAGCAAAGCCAAAAATAGCCATCTAATGACGTCAGAGGAACAAGGTCATCTGAAAATTGCCCATGGCCACTGGACACCTCCCTATAGGATCAAGTAGCAGGAGGGTACCCCAGGCTGGTGCAGCTGTTCCAAGAACAGGAAACGTCCCAGGAACAGACTTGGAAGCGCAACCTCAGGAAGGCAGGGCCTGTGGGGGCAGGGGACAAATGCAAACACATAAAAGAGTAGAAGCAAGACCCAAGTGCGGAGTATAGACCTGGGAGTTGAGAGTAATGCTTTATCTGCACAAGAAGTTTCTCCCATCACACGATCCTAGGAAATGGCTAAAAAGAAGGGAATGCATGTTATCCTGTTGCACAGGACAGCTTCCCAGCCTACCATTGTGCTATTTATAAAACTTCAGGTCCGTGTGCTAAACTGGGTTACCATGAGAACCAGGGGCTGCAGGGCAAGCTCTGAGCAGCTGCTGGAAGAAGAGGGCCCCGACTGGGATGGTGAGGGGTACCCAAACGAAGGTGAGGAGTGGGCTGGGACAAAGCACCTCCTAGCTGCAGTCACTTGGCACTGTGACCACCTTGGCTATCTGGGCCTGCTGAGGCTTGTGACTTCACTGACTGGCAGCTGCCACATCCCTGACAGGAGTCCAAGCATCCAGCATGGTCTGACATGCTTGCTGTGTCAAGATGAGGAGAGAGGACCTGCCTCCCAACCTCCGGGAAGCTTAGCTGGAGGTTCCCACAGCACAGTTGAGTTCAGTGAGGGCTCCAGCCCCAGCTGCAACCTTCACAAGACACTTGCTCCAAAGTCCTGAGTTGGTGGCCCTGAAGGCTCACTGAAACAACCTCTTCTTCAGCCATGGGGTCTTTGATCAAGTGTCACTAAATTCCAAAAAGAGCCAAGAGCTGAGAATGCCCATCCACTACAGCTGGCTCTACTCAAGAGATACAACTGGTGTGGTAGAAAGGGCACCTGAGGGTGGAGAGACCTGGCCCAAATTCTGACGCTGCCACTTACTAGCAGCATTTCTGTGGGAAAGTCACTTAAACTCTGGGCCTCAGTTTCCTCATCTCTCTTAGGACTTGTTGGAAGGCCATATAGAAAAGCCTTCCTCCATCTTGGTAATGGAGTGTTAGCTGAGCAGATGAACACCTACACAACCAACTCGGCAGCTCTCCTGGGTGACGTGAACAGACTGCACAAAGATAGCAGCAGAGGGGCCTCTGGAGGAGAGGTATGTTCTTGCCCTCCGGGTCAGCTCTTGTTTGGCCTGGGCACTGAGGGTCTCAGAAAGAATGGAAACTGGCTCCCTGGCCCGTAGGAGCCTTTGCACTGGGAGACCTGTTGTCTATTGGGACCTGTAGGTCCCTGTCCTGGTGCACTGCTGGACGTGTATCAGTCCCCTGGCAGACTTGTTAAATCACACATTGCTGGGCCCCACATCCAGACTGTCTTACTCAGAAGGTCTGAAATGGAGCTGGAGAAGTTGCTTTTCTAGTTGGGGTGATGCTGCTCAGACCACACACTGAGGACCACCGTCCTAGAGAAAAGTCCCCCAGCCCAAGTTGCTGAGCTTCCAGCCTGCTGACTCCTACCCATTTTTGAGGCCTCTGGGAGGTAGGACTGTTTGGGTGTGTGAGGAAACACAGGAACACTCAGATTCAAATATCAGTACAGCTAATGTTTCAAGGAAAGGCAGGTGCACAAAGTTAAGGTATTCAGTGGAGGGTGAGGGTACCGTGAGCCCCTTCCAACTATCTGCTTGCTGAGCTGCTTCCTATATTCACTTCCTATTGCTGCCGTAACACATCACCACAGAGAGGCCAAGGAGCCAGTAAGAATCAGTGAGCCTCCAGTGTGGACTTCACCTTCCAATTAGTAATGAGATTACTACAAGCTCGACTCAAGCCCCTCGCCTTTCTGCCTTTCTCGCCCGCACACTCCCGTGGAGACTCCGCCCTGACGCAGCTCCTTGCTCCCATAGCTGCTAACTGGCAGCTGCTGGCCCTGCCCTATCAGGCTGTTAGCTTTGGGTTAAGCAGAAGGGGCTTCTGGCAAACCCGGGGGACACATACCCACTGATAATGAACACTGAACGTCTGACTCAAACATGGTCACACTGAGTCACACTGGCCGACAGGAATAAGTGCCCAATGTGACAGTCACCATTGTTGCCCAGAGTGCCTCGTCACATGAAAGCTGGAAGCAAATTCCCATCCAGAGAGCTGGAGAAAAGGTTCTTTCTAGAATATTGTTCTAAGATGAGAAACCCAGAGAATTCAAATGATGTGTTCAAGGTCACAAAGCCAGGAGCCACTCTCATAATTCCCAACCTATGGCTCATTCCACTAAATAAGTGTACTCTCCTGAACTCTGACAATTTTCGTAAAACAATCCAAGTGCCACTGACCATGAACACGGTAAAAACCGAACTGCGGTGGAGAGAAACAGAAGAGCATCGAGACAAATGTGTCAGTTTTGCTGTGATGTCCTTAGAGTGCCTCCAACAACGGAAGAACCATTCGTGGGTAGCCTCACATCCTGGAAGAGCCAGCGACAGAGGGACTTCCCTGTGGTAGTCTGTAAGAACTCACTGAACATTCTGTGCAGTCTTTAACCAGTTCCAAGGTCAAGAGAAACATCAGAAAATATGCGTGTGTGTCAGAGGACATTATTCAGGGATTAGTCCCCTGGAGTGATCTGGGCTAGATTTCCGCTTCCAGAACAACCCTTGGAAAGTCTTCAACAAGATAGCACACTGGTCTCCAACACACTTCACTGAAGTTCAAATGGCAGTCCAGGGGCAGGAGGCCTGCTAGAGGTGCCCTCCTGCAGTGACTGAGCAGCTGGCCACAGGAAAACCTAAGTCTAAAAGACCTGGTGTGGTTACAACAAACTGCCTAGAAAATTTTCTGGAAATATTCAAGCCAAAAAGAGCCTTATTAATCCTTCTAGTTCCATCTCTTTTGACAAATGTGGAAACTGAGTCCAGAAAAGTAGGGTGACTTATTAAAGGCCACCCAGTGTCAGTGACAGAAGTGAACTCTTCCCCAGAAAAACATCACAGCCCCAACTGGGGTTAAGAAAGAGGACATTCTCCTTTCAGATTTGATCTGAAGGCTTAGCAACAACAATCCAGTGCTAAGTCTGAAAATGTAGTTCCAAGAAGTTTAAAACAACATAATCAGAATTCTTTCCAAGAGAGGCTTTGCTGAAGGCCAATAAACTTTTTCACTGTGCATGAGTGACACTGACATCCCATCAGCCAAAAAGAGCTTTCCATTTTGTAAATGTGTATGCAAGAATTATGTCATTAGCTATGATTTTGGGAAGAGCATATATTTCCTTTTAATATTTTAATTACAAAGATTGATAAGTGGTTTGAACAGCATTTAAAGTTTAGAGATAGACACGATACATTAGGGAGACACCCAAAATTGTCCTATAAGTAATCTAGAAAAATCCTTTGCAAAACAAGCATTTTTGGTGGGAAGAAGCAAACTCAGAATAATGCAACAGTATGCTGCTGTTTAAATTGGTATTTATAAAATATGCAGTAATATAGGAAAAATATTTGAGTTACTACTATGCTAAATGAAAAAAGCAGAATACAAAACGTATATAGATACAGAAAAACCCTACAATGTAGAAAAACAGACTAAGGTTCTATACAAGAAAAAAATAGATTATACAAAACATCAGTGTTCAAGGTAGGTGATGGACTTTTTTTCCTCCTATTACCAAGTATTTTCCAGATGTATATAATTAATAATAAACCTCAATTTAAAAACTGAAAACCAAAACATTGCGAAACCCAGCTGAGATTTTTGCAGAGCAAATTCAGTCACTTCTAGTCACAGAGTCAGTTTTGTGACACAGACTGTGTGCATGATGTGTGCCCATGAGTGAGAGAATGTGTCAGGCTGGAGGCTTAGCTCTCCTTACTACCAACCCAGCTTGAACAATACCACTCCAAACTGCTTCTCATGTAATAATTTATGACTGCTATTTCTTGACTCACTGAAAACCACATCTCCCACCCTTGCTCCTGAAAGACCTTGAGAATACCCTCCGTGCCAAAGCAAGCGAGGAAACAGCACTTGGCTACAGTTCTTAGCAGTCACACACCTGCCTATGATGTTTGGGGACCCAGTCCCAAAACTACAAGGGTCTCAGCAGATCAGACCAGGTTTTTATTTCCTTCCTAATAAAATTTTAAAGAAAAGGGAGAGGGCAATTGATGCCTTCAAGTCAGGCTTAGTCTGGTGAAATATTTCCTGGTAAAACCTAGTATTTTCCTAAGCCTTTTTTACCCCTGCCCTTTCAACCATGGTTTCTCCGAGTGAAATGTCAGCATTTGTCAAGACCTTTCAGGAAGCTGATACCTTCAACACATGAGAGCCACACTTTGACCTGAGCCCAGCCACTTATTCTCCTGCAAGAAAGAGAATAACAATACCACCAGATATTTTCAATGCCAGTAACCTTCCCTGCAGCCCTAGAAAACAGTGGTATGCTAGAAGACAAACAAAACAAGGAAAAAATATGTTTTTCTGTCCCTAGGCTTCTTTTTTGTAGCAACTATACTGGCTTCAGCTGGATAACAAATTGTCCTGGAATTCTTGGCATTAGAGCAAACATGTCAGCTCCCTGGTTACGCCTTCGTCACTGCCCAAAGTACCACGCACTTTAACCTTCCTGCTCTTTCCATAGGCCTGGATTTGTCCCGTATCCAGGAAACTTTATATGTTGTCTGAACTGAACATCCCAGCAGGCTGCAAGGCAGATGGCATCTCAGGATTCAGAATGTTGACTGATTCCTACCTGGATCCACACCACCAAGCTGTAACTCAGCCTGCCTGTGCAGAAATAGGAGCCCAAGCACATGGCTAACAGCTTTTTTAACTGCTACTCTCAGCAATGAGAAACCTTCTCAGCAGACAAGACTTAGAAGGGAACTAGAAAGTAAGCAATGTCAAGACTTATCTGAAGGGATACACAGGCTTAACCAGATACTCAAGCCAATATGCCCCCATGGCTCAGCTAAGCCAGGAGAAGCTAAAAGACCCAGGTGTTGTTGACCAGCCCTCAAATCCTTGGGATCTCTGGACAACATGAAGAGGAACCAGACCCCACTACCCATTTGCTTCCATGTTCCTAGATTCTCAGAAGAGGCTTCCTACTTCAGTCAGGGAGGAAGCTAGGACATACCCAAGGTGGTACCTAAACCCAGCATTCAAAGCAGAACACACATGAAAAGAGCAAGGTTCAGGGTGGAAAGTGTGACACTATTTGTGTAAAAACAGGAGGCGGGAGGAGGGAGGAATATGTTTATGCTGATGACATCTCTGCAAGGGAACACTCCGGGCAGCACTGTCTCTGGGGAGGGGAAATGAGCTGTGGGAGAAAAGGTAGAAAATGTTACCTTTTGTAGCTTGTGAATTTTTAAACATGTGAATGTATAATCTTTCAAAGAACAAATGAAAATTAAAAACGAAGACAGAATGCTGTAATCATAGTGTCATAAAAAATGCTCTGTAAGTCTGTGTGTACATAAAAACATTCTGGAAGAGTACACAGCTTTTAGCAATGGGTTACTCCTGGGGATTAGGAGTAGGGGAAGCAAGGAGATGGTCGTTTTATTTTACATAGTCTGTTATAATTGTTTCAAAAGGCAAATACTACTTCCATAATTCTGAGAAAACATCTTTAAGAACTGCACTCTCACCTCCAACAAGAATCTCTAAGCTCCTGCAGCACTTTTTCTGTCTTGAGTGACTCAGTCACATCTTATCTTGTGTTACAAATTACTTGTGTAGAAGTCTCACCTCTGTTAAATGCTGGAGCAACTCCACCTGCAGCCTGTCTACCACTCAAGCTCCACTTTCAGGGACAAAACAGCAGAAAAGAACCGGTAAGGAACAGAATAGTAGTCAAGGTGGCAATGAGGAACAAAATGGCCAACCACAGTCAGTCAGTCATCTTACATTAATTAGCACCACACTACCTGCAGTGGGAAAACACAGCCAAGTCAAAACAACATGGAGAAGAGTCCTTCCCAGAAACTGTGGGGATTCCAACGATCCACACGTGCAAGGAGCTTTGCAAAACTGCCAAGCATAGTGTGACAGCCCAATTTATCATTAGAATGCAGCAGATTCCTATCAGAGAACATGTTCCTTGTTTAGAAAAATTGAGTGACCTCTGAGGATTGAAAGAGAGGCTTCCTCTAGAACATGGCTTGAAGCGACCAAGAACCTGAATTTCTCTGGAAAAATTAAAGCGGAGAGTTTGAGTTTCAGGGGAAAAAGGGCTGTACTAGAAAAATGAAGGTCACGTGAGGTCATCCAGACAAAAGGACTCAATACTACAGAGACTGCTGAGTAGAAATAGGTAGCCACTGGGAAACTGAGAAACTCTGAGAAACAAGAAGCAATGGATGCCTGTCTCATTCTAAGCCATTTGCTCTGAAGTAATGTAATCCCTCTTTGTTGCCTCTGGGACCGTCACACATGACGACCCTGACATGGGTGTCTGGAGGGGTGATCCAGAATGGAGCAAATAGGGTGGAGCTATCCCATAGGCCCATAATTCTCAACAACACTCTTTCCAAAGCCCTCAACTTGAGGGCTGGATTTATTCTACCTGAGACAACCAAAAACAAAAAATGGACAAAATATATGAGAAATGGTATCAGATGGAAATATCTGAATGGCAGTGAATTATTAGGTAACTCCTGATACAAGAAGGGAGAGAAACTACATAGGATAGACACAGAGAGGGAATTAAGGGATGAAGAGAAGTGGAAAAACCAAAACAATAGATGACCAGGAGAAAACAGCCCCCAGGAAGCCACCAGACTGAGGTAGACCTGGCCTCCTCGCAGTGCAAGGGGTGGAGAACTCAGTCCCTGGGGCTGACACCTGAGTGCCTCCTTTACTGATCCTTCTCTCACTCTCTACATCCAGTCTGTTAGCCAGTCTTATCAGTTATGACTTCAAAACACATTCAGAACCCAACCATTTCTCAAACCTCCACTGCTACCACTCTACCCCAACCCACTATCAACTCATACCTAGACAACATCAAGAGCTGCCTCACCTCCATTTCCAATTTTCCATGCTCCATCCCCACCCGTCTTTTCTCCACACAGCAGAGACGTTTATCACCTGCCAGAAGAGGACAGCTATCGGTTTATTGTCTGTCTCCCCACCTAAAATTAGGTAAGCTCCTTACCTTTTAATAAAAGGCAAAGTCTCCCTTGTACTTCTATTCTTTGCTGTATTCCTAAGGACTAGAACAGTGCCCAGGTATGTCTAGATAGCATCAAATTAAGTGTTACATGAACTACCTAAGTTCTAGATACCACATACCTCTGGGAAATGAACAAAGGAACTGCACTTTGCGTCAGTTTGTGAACCTTCAGGAGACCCAGGGATCCGCAAACTATGTCTTGCTTTATCACTCATCACTGAATTATAAGGGCTTGTACATAACACTCATTGAATGAGTAAGAAGGAATATAAAATAGATTTAATGTCATATATGGTGCCTAAGACTGGTCTGGACAGAATATGGATGCTTTCATATCTCCTGGTACAAGAGTAGATGACTGGTGCAGAGGAGAGTTCATAAATAATGTCAAGTCAAAAAAATACTATTTAACATGGACCTAGTGTATTCTGCCAGCTACAAGAAATAACAGAGATGACTATGATAATTTTTGTCTGTAAGGACTAAGATAATTTTAGCTATCTGTGTCTCTACCAGTTTGTGAACAAGTATAAGTAACCCAGTGATCATCCTTACCTATGGAGGTCAGACAAGCAAGGAAGGATTCATGAAAAAGATTTTACTTGAGTTGTGTCTTATAAGGAAGAGTTTGGCAGATGAGAAAAAGCACATTTAAGGAAGAAGGCACAGTCTGTATGAAAGTATAGACTCATGACTGCCTTCCAGAGTGGTTCCAGGGAGGGAGCTAACATCATTTGGAAGGATATTCTGACATAAGACAGAAAAGATTTACAAAGCACTTTCCTTTAAGGACAGAGCCCATGCTTTTAAAAGTTCCTGGACCCTCCCCTCAAAGTACCCATTTCCCTAATACGACTGACAGATTTTAAAACATCAAATAACAAAATCAGGGAGGGGAAGACAAACATTTTTATTCTGGTCCAGGTTACTAGAAGACTTAAAACATGTGCTACACAGTGTTCCCTGTTATTATAGCACTGACAGGGGAAAATGTGCCTGGATAGCAGCTCTGCCCAAAGCCTGCCAATCATCACTGTGGGCTCCCTGTCAGCCCATGCCGCCTCCTTCCTCATGTGCAGTTAACGAGGCTTCCCCCTCAGAGCCAAAGGCTCCTTAACTTTAAATTCATTTTGTGCAGAGAAGAGGAAAGAATATGATATACTGACTGTTCCTCATTTAAGCCATGACTTAAATCCTACCTCAGTATTTAACTATCTTTATTTTCTGATTAAAATAGAAAAAAGGGAGAGGGAGGTAGGAGCAATACAAATTACACTGTGCTGACATAAAGACCTTAAATTTTAGTTAGAGTTAAGACCCATATTAAAGGTCAATTGATGGTACAAAGAAATATCTACATGGAATCTGACTGATACATACATGAGTTTGAGTCTCATTATTAGCTTCAATAATGTAGGAAAACAATTCTCAACAAAACTGGAGTCCACCCTTGTCTGGTATGCTGTCAGGCATGGGTATGAGCAAGTCTGGAGGAACAGTTTCTCTCTAGGCCCTGGTGACAACGCAAGAAGGCTCCCGGTTTGATGGAAAGAGTAACTCCTCTTCCCAAGTAGTGTCTGCAGTGCACAGCTTAGTCTAGCAGTGGAAGCGAGTGGAGAACTTGGGGGATACAGGCACCGTCAGAGGCTGGTCGCTTGACTTGACCTCCACACTCTGGTATTTGCGGATTGGGTTTGCCTTGTGCACCTGCAGAGAGAGGAAAACAAAGTCACCGCTGGTAAGGACATTAGAGAGCCACCCATTTGGTTTCTATTTTTTCTTCTTGAGAAAATGTTTGTATAGTTTTTATAGATCCTGATCTCTGTTTCAAACAGGAAATTAAAAAAGGCAACACAGTATAATGGAAAAGCACATGAGCTTTGGAGCCCAAGGAGGTTTTGCTGGGTCCCTCAGCTTGCATTGTACAATGTCAAACTTAACTCCAATTTGATTGTTTATTACTAGGCTGTAATAGGGGTGTACTCAGTTGCAGAAGAGAAGAAATATATTTTAAGAATTTGCCAGAGTATAATCTAAAGCTCGCTGATTAATATTCACCAAAAGTGTAGGGAAAAACAACAAAACAAAAAAACTCACAGAGGGCTACTGGGAGATGGCATGTCCCATCCATCCTCTGGGCAGTCTAAAATCAAGTCAGATTAGTCAAGAACTACCTAGCATTGACTGAATTATGCCTGACGATATTGCCACCAGCCTACATTGCAAAGTGAGGTCAGAAAAAGCTGTGTGACAGGGACAGACACAAGAGGCAGTACCAAGGGCTGGAGAAGAAACAAACTCAAGGCTGGTTTTGTGAGATACCTAGAGTGGTGACTATTGTTTTTTCTTCACCCAATCAATAAATGGTAGTTTGGGTTTCTCCCTAGAGCCTTCCTGTGGCCACAGGCACCCCTGCTAACAGCTGTATCAGCTGCTGGCCTAGGACATTTAGACTAAACCTCAACAATCTGTATTTCTACTCATCCCTTTATTAATTATATGAAGTTCCACCTATAAAATGTCTTCTCTCTTATTAATGCAGTTAACCCAGCTTGCAGTCCTCCTAGCAAAAAGGTCCTTAGTATGAATTAAGCTTTCTTTGAATAACTAATATCTAAACCAGTATGCTAGTATTATCATGGAGGGTCACCTGGACGAATATGCACTCTAACTACAAGGAATCTGAGTCAGGTATTGAGAGAAAAATGAAAATACAATCACCACACAATTCCTACATATGTGTCCTTTCCTATCTATGTATTCTTGCCTAATTATAAAACACATTAGTCTTCTTAAGGCTTAAAGAAACAGTACGTTAAATAGAGTCCTAGGAATGCATCACCGAGCCCCTGGAAGAAATTGTCTGAATTCAGTATTGAGGATAAATGTATTTTTTTAATAAGCTAGATTGTTTATATCTTGTGAATGTGGTGAGTTTTGTAACTAGTAGGTTGGTTCCTGAAAAGGACCAAAATTATGGCTCAAATTTAGCAGATACTTGGATCAGAATTTTACCCATCTTTAGCCTCATTCATATCCAACTTTTGTTACTACCCTTGGTTTGTATGATTTCCCACCTTCACTTGTCTTTGATACATCCCTGTAGGCCACCTTAGATCCCTTCTAGAACAAGGCAAGGAACAGATAAAACAAAACAGGGACAACCGTGGGTTAGTTAGTGCTCATGCTGCCCAGTTACCAGTTCTTTCCGTAGCCTGGACAGCTCCTCCTTCTGCTGCTCTTCCTCCTGCTGCCTGGCCTCCTCCAGCTGCTGGGCCTTCTGAGCTTCTACCTCAGCCATTCTCTTCTCCAGCTCTTGCCGTTCCTTGGCTCTCTTCTCAGTGGCCAGCTGAAAAGGTTCCTGAACTAGAGAACCAGAAAGGCTCTCTGAGCACAGAAACACAGAGAATATTGGTTCAAAGCAGGAAATGCATAAACCTATCCCCTATGGGTCCAGCAAGTGGCACAGGCACACATGGCAATGGAAGGCTGAGCTCTAAGGGAGCCCTGTTGGAAGAAAGGTGGAGTAAACCACATATTTAAGTCTTAGAATTTTAAGGGTGAGAAGGGCTCTTGGAAATCTTCTAATTAGAAGAAAAGCAAGACCCACATAGGTGAAGAGGCTTGCTCAAAACTACATAGTGATTTTGAGACAGAGGTGGAAGTAGTCCAATTTTCAGACACCTTCCCCAATGCTTAAGGAATCAAATGTTTGGTATCTAAGTTTGCTTTCAGGGTGAACTCCAGAGAGAAGTCCTGGCTCTTCTTCCCTCATTTACTTGAACTCTTTGTGTGGGGAAAGCCTATACCTGTTTTTGAAATGCCAGCTGCCTCTGCCCAGGCTCTTGTTCTATCAATCTGGCCCCAACACATTCTGCAACTCAACATAGCCACTAGGTTCAGCAAAGGCAAAAGACTGGGTATAGGGGAAGAAAAACTAGATCTTCTCAAGGCAAATGCTCCTGGTTGACACAGCATTATACTGACACAACTGGGTCCCAGGCACTCCCCCCTAGGAGGTCTGACAATCCTGCTCAAACCCCCCAAAAGTACATATAATACTACCAGCAACAGATCTTTTCTCCTTCTTGGGAACAAAGGGTTCCTGGGAAGTGATGGTATTTGGACGAGCCTTGAAGCAAGCTGCTTCCTTCTGCTGTTTCAGTTCTTCCTCCAGCTATTGGAAAGAAAGGCTGTTAGATAAGCAACTACAGAACTTTCCATGACTACACACTCAATGACTAAAGCCCTAATGTTTCTAAATTTCTTCATCAATAAGGACAGTAGACAATTAAATCTAAATCCCAGTAACAATCACCTTTACAGTGAGTAGATCTGACTGACAGCATCTGAACCTAATCCCAAAAAGAATCTAACCAAACCTCCAGATCTTACTTATTTATAGGAAATACACGAGATAGAGGAACATATGAAACAACATCATGGCAATACAATGACCAAAGTCCAGACTGTGGAAAACCTATAGGACAAACAATCTAGTTTATTCAATAAAATGGGAATAGAGGAGTCTACAGATTAAAAGAGATTTAAAGATTTATCAAACAAAAGCAATACATGGACCTTATTTGGATCCTTATTTAAAGAATTCAACTGTTTAAAAAAATTATGAGAGGTTTAGGAGTTTATGAATGCTGACAATTTGTCACTACTAAAGGATTACTGTTAATCTTTTTAACTGTGATAACAGTAATATGATTATGTTTTTTTAATCCTTTACTTTTAAATGAAATGAGATGAACAAAAGTGAATAGATTCACTTCAAAGTAATCCTGTGTAGGCAGAAGTATAGATGAAATAAGGTTTTCAATGTTTTGATCATTATAGAATAAAGTGACAGATTCTTGAAGTTTAGTACACTTTCTACTTTTGTATATGCCTGATAAACTTAAAATATTTTTATTATAGAAAATACCCCACACAGACACTCTGTCATGATCCTTGAAAGAGAGATTCACTATTTCCAAAGCAACAATACTATGTTTCCCTGGAGAACAGTGCCAACGAGGGACCTATGTTCATTCGTGTAAGCAATCACATCTCTTGAGTTTCAAGAGGGTTGACTTCCTACAAACACAGATTAGCCCAGAGCTCCTTTTGGACAGAGTCCAGGATAAGTTATAATATAAAAATACTGACAAACTTAGGGATGCAAGGGAACCTTTTCCAGATAGAGCAGATTAGATCCCAATCAAACCAGCCAACAACTAATTAATTGTTCTTAATCCCCCGTCATCTATAAAGAGCAAATAGCATACATACTATGTTGAGAAAACAGCCTACCATATTGAGAATCTATTCTCACCATACTGTTTCTTATCAAAGCACCAACAGAAAGGATTAAACATTTAATGAACAAGTCTAATAGATGGAATAGGTGAGATCTTGAACTCCCGATGCAAACAAAGCATGTTCTCACATTTCCCAAACCATCTCTTAGTGCAGGGATCAGCACACTTCAGCCTGTCGGCAAAATCCGGCCTGTCACCTCCTTTTGTACAGCCCTTGAGCTAAGACTAGTTTTTACATTTCTAAAGGATTGAAAAACACACACATGCAAACACACACACACAGAATATGTGATAGACACAATATGTAATCCACAAAACCTAAAATATTTACTACCTGGTTTTTTTTCTTTTATTTTGGTATCATTAATCTGCAATTACAGAAAGAACATTATGTTTACTAGATTCCCCCCTTCACCAAGTCCCCCCCACATACCCCTTCACAGTCACTGTCCATCTGCGTAGTAAGATGCGGTAAAATCACTACTTGTCTTCTCTGTGTTGCACAGCCCTCCCCGTGCCCCCCCACATTATACATGCTAATCGTAATGCCCTCTTTCTTTTTCCCCACCCTTATCCCTCCCTTCCCACCCATCATCCCCAGTCCCTTTCCCTTTGGTAACTGTTAGTCATTCTTGGGTTCTGTGATTTTGCTGCTGTTTTGTTCCTTCAGTTTTCCTTTGTTCTTATACTCCACATATGAGTGAGATCATTTGGTACTTGTCCTTCTCTGCCTGGCTTATTTCACTGAGCATAATACCCTCTAGCTCCATCCATGTTGTTGCGAATGGTACTACCTGTTTTTTTATAGAAAAACTTTGCTAACCCCTACTTTAGAATGTGGGCCCTGAAATAATTCAGTAAGTTAGTTCCAAGAAGAATTTCCGTGTAGTGGGTCTACCTATTCTAACAAACCAACAACCAAGCAATTAACATTTAACTGCTCTCCCCAGCATCCCCCACCTGGTGCTTCCAAGTCTGTGCCTTCAGAGCACCTCTTTTGTCAGTCTCCAAGCAGAAAGGCTCAGCCTGGGTCGTACTCTTCACCTTCTTCTCTGGCAGGTTAATGGTGTCAAAATGAGGCAAAGGAAGTGCCTTAAACTTGGGCACCTAACAGAGAAGAAAACATAAGGTCTAAGATGAGGTCTCTCTAGCCAGGCAGAAGTAGCTGCTTCGGCATTTTTGGATGAACCTGAGAAATAGGAAATGCTGATTTCCAAAGCAGCACGATGCACCTGGAGGAGAGATGCACTCAAAAGGAAATATACATTTCCTCCCAGTATTACCTTAACTGGCAGCAAGATCATGGGCAAGTCACTTAACCTCGTTGTGCCAGAAGGGTTATTAAAATTACTTGTTCTACTTATACTTCATAAGGTTTGTTAGAGGGATCAAAAGAAGTCGGTGATTTTATAGTTAAAGGTGCAACATAAAAGATTATCTTTGAGGGACCAAAGAATAGTATTATGCTACTTTACAGAAATGGAAACACCTACCTCCCCTTTCTGCAGTTCTTTTATTTTCTTCTCCTTCTGTAAATGACGTTCTTTGTCTCGAGAATCAAAAGAGAATGGGCATATTTCCACAGTTCTTGCCTCTGAGATTTGGGGTTTATAAGGCACCCCACAGTGTGGCACAGGATGAGCTCTTATCACTACTGGTTCCTCTTCCTAAGGGAAAAACTGCAGTTTAGACACAAGACTCCTTGCTCTCTCTCGCCTCCTCAGAATGTAGTCAGAAGGCATTATTTAAGAGAATATTAATCAAGGCAAGTCACTCAGTGCCTTAGGACTCTTAGCTTCCTTTTCTATCAAAGAGGAATAATACCTAAGTCACCTACCAACACACAGGGGTGAGTGAGACCACTGGGAAAGCATTTGATAAAGGACTAACACAGTTACTCTCAAAGAGCTAAAGTTTTCCATAGGAAGGATGTAAAAACCAAATGAGATCAAACAATACGAACAAAATGAAAAACAGGAGCCACTAACCAAGCATATACCTTGGCCTCTTCCTTGACCTAGTCTCCACTAAAACATGTGACTGGGAGTTCATGGTTGCCAAACCCAGAATAGGACCAAGTAAGTTGTTTGGGTTTAAGCTGGTAACATAAGATTACTGTGTATTTTAGTTCCAAATGAACCTATAAAAAGGCTATGCTTAAGATCTGCTATAAAATTACCTTAACTCTGGATATTTATAGGTAAAATGGGAGATGTGACAAGAAAGTAGCATAATCAATGACAGTTTATGTATTCAATCTCATGAACCAACGCCACACAGTCACCTCTGCAACCCTTGGGTTAATGGATAGGACAGGGCAGATGTAACTGCTTAGTATGAATTTTAAAAGCCCCTCACTGAATAGTGAAAATAGCTCAGGCAAAGTAGAGAACAGGGTGTGACAACTTTGATCCATGTTCCAATGACAGACTGATTTCCAATGCTCTAGAAATGGACAAACCTCCAGTGAGTGGCAGCCAGGTACCACTGACAGCTAGAAGAGTCACACCCTTACAAATTACTTTTGCTCTTGAAGGAGCAAAAAAGATGATCAAATGGTCATAGCCATTGTTAAAGACAACTCCAGACAAGAGTGACTACCTTTGAATTTCATTAAGTTTAAGAAATAATGCTTAGATTGTTGTACAGAAGGAAGAAGAAAATCCCTATCCCAGAGAATCACCTCGATTTTGGAGGGCATTCGAATTCTGTTCTTCAGTGTGAAGGCCGGTGACTTGGGGACAGTGATTGGAAGTACTTTCTTTTCAGGAACACCCTGCAAGGAGGAAGCAACTCAGTTAGACATTCCAGAACAACCTACACTAGGCTGTGATAAGATTAGATCCCTTTCTTAAAGGGAAGCTCACACACAAAGAATCAAAGAGCAGTTAGTAGTTCAGTACATTGCTGTTCACCCAACTTAAGACAAAGGCGTATCTAGTATGGGGTAGCACTCCAAAGGTGGCCTGTCGTGACAGAACAGCCATGACAAGGACATAACTTGAGTGTGTATTCAGTAAAAATGTCTTTTGGTATTTATAAAAAACACTTGTCACAACAAAGAACAAACTAAATGCCAATATTTTATCGTTTCTCTCCCTGTCTATACCCCAATCTGTCAAAAACAAAATAAAAAAGACTTCTAAATGTGTTTAGGATCAGAATAATACTGCCCATTCTCTGAACCTATTCCACACAAAGCCTTCAATGAGAACTTATGTTCAAAACATTACACTCAAAAGACAAAGGGGAAAAAATATTGGGCAAGGGCTAGTTCAATTTCCTTTGCCAAATAAATGGGTAAAGAATAAGAACAAATAGTTCACAAAGATACACAAGAGGCTCAGTCTCAATAATTCTTAAAAATACAAATTAAAACAAGGTATTTTCACCTAAAAGACTGAGTAATATTCACAAGACCCATTAACGCCAGTGTTGGCATGTGTGAGGAGAGGGTACTTACGTACAGTTGGGTAAGGGCACAGGGCATAAATTGGTACATCCTTTGGGAATTAGCTATTGAATCTTTAAATGGTCACACTCTTCCACTCAATATTACACCTCTTGTATTTGATCTCTAGTTAGTTTTGTTTTTAGGTATACTTCAATACAATAATGAAAAACTGCAAATAATTCAATTATTTATCATGAAAGAATCAGCTGAATCCTTTCTTAAACTGTGCTACATCCACACAATAGAATATTACACAGCCACCAAAAAGAATAAAATAAATCTTTATTACTGACACAGAACAGTGCTTATATATAATATTGAGGGAGAAGTGATAAGTTGCTGAAATAGAGAATATTTTTGTTTTAAAAATGTATATATAACATCAAACTCTTAATTCTCACATGTCTTTGTGAGTAAACAAACATTTAATTTTCTATAGTTCATAATTCTAATATATTCAATTACTCTGAAAACTTTTCCCTTCATGGCTAACATTTCAAATCCTTGCAGACTGAATTACATGTATCATACTATGCACATTATTCAAAACTAACACTTTAGAAAGTTGTTTCATAAGCATTTTCTGATTCTCAAAAAATCTATGCTCTATCACAAATCTGGTAATTAATCCTAACTGCCAAATGGTATCTCTTAGGTTGTAGTTTCAGATGATGTATATGACCAGCTCAATTGAAAAAAAAAAGTCAAGCCTGAGACATCTTCAGTAACTCCTTTGTTACACTCACAGGCACATGCTGCCTCACAAGCTCTCTATTCTGATTTGTAATTTTTCACTACCATGCCATACATAGGCCACATCATCTATTACCTGTACCATTCTCCTAGCCTTCTAACAGTTTTTCAAATTCCGATCTCTCTTCTGTGTACAGTCAGAATTATTTTTCCAAAACACATCTGATCATGTTACTTACTGACTCAAGATTCTTTAATGGCTCCTACTGCCTACCTACAACAGTACAACAGATTCCTTGGCACAAAGTACAAGGCACTTCATAATCTGGTACTCTGCCTGACTCTCCAGCCTCATGTCCCACCCTCCAACCACAATAAACTACTGGCAGCTGCCAAAATGTAACACTGATTCTCATCTCAATACTTTTGCTTGTGTTCTCTCTCTCTGAAATGCCCCAGCTGCCTGGAAGCACCTAACCCTTCTTTTAAAGCCTTCAGTGAAGCATCTCTTTTAATAGATTGTTCTAACTCCCAGAACCTACAGATCTGACCCCTCTTTCCCTAGTATATAGTTCCCAGTAATAGTATATACAGAACTTCACCGCACTTGTTTAGATGTTCGTCTCCGAGCTGCCTATGAGTGCTTCGAGTGAAGACTGTTATTCTATCAATTCCTAGCAGCTAACACAGACCTTGGCAAATACAAGCCATTCGGTAAATGTTTGAAGAATGAATAACAGAATTTATACCTTGAACTCTAAGGCTCTTGGACTCCAGCTTATACCTTGGGAAACTCCTTAATCTTAACAATGCTGCCACTGCTCAGAACACATGTGAAATGTCTTTCTTGGGAGTGGCTTTCAAAACCAGGTTTGGGGCCATGCAAGGTAGTCACTCAATCTCTACTTTTAATGAAACAAAACTGTTTCCAGCTCTTACTATCTTGGCCTACTACTCAGAAGTTTTAGTTCCAAATGACTTTACTCCTGAAAGGATATTAATCTTTAAAATACAAAGATTTGGCATTGTTGAAAAGCTCCAAATGACTGTGCCATAGGATCCAAGACAAGTGGCTTTTCCAAAATGCTTTGCACACTATCATTGGAAAGAATTTATACCCTCCCAAGGTAACCACCATAAAGGGAATGCTTTTTCTGCTATGAAAGTTCCTACATGTTTTCTAAGGAAAGCCAGGGTCATTTCCATAGGGCAGAACTTGTAATTAGAGTGTTCAAGTCCATGAAATGGCTTTTCAAATAATGCTTACCATAAAACAACAAATACCTATTGCTCTACAACACAGACAAGTGGACAGCAGTCTCTTGCTTGAACATACTCAGGACTTGTGGGAGTGGGAAGAATACTGAGCAGTCAGAGGTTGGTTCTAGCCCAGCTCCGATTCTAATCTGTGTGACCTTGGGCACAGTGGATAGCCTTCTAGGCCTTGGTTTTTTATTTCTGTTGTTTTCTTCTCATGAAATAATATAATGGAAATAAATATATGAGGGCTTATTTATCCCTCTTTCTTATTTTTCTACTCTCTCTGCACCCACCCAGCAGAGATGTGCCCTTTGAATGAAGAGCAATGCAAATCTGATAAATAAACCATGAGATATTTACAAGTAGGATCAATCTTCGTAATTAGTTTGGGGAGAGGAAAAGGTGACTTATGAAAAAAATCTTTGCAGCAACCACCCATCTACAACTACTCTCTACCATAATCAAAGCCAACTGGAGATTTAATCAGATATAAAAAAAGGACATTGGGTTTCTAGAAACAGAGACATCTTCTTGTTTGTTATTTTAACTTTTCTTAGTTATAAGCTCTTTGAGGGCAGGGATATTGCCATTTGCATTCCTTTGCATCCTCCACAGCACCTACAAGAAGTAGTAATTGTTCCATGAACATGTGAAGATTAATATTATGGTCCTTTGTTTACATGCCAATATGCTCTATTAGGTTGCGAAAGTTTTGAGAGAGAGGGCTGTGTTTTCTCCCAGCTTTGAATTCCCAGTGTTTGGCATGGACTGCCATGTTTCAGCTTGTACTGTCATTCACTCAGCTATCCAGTATCAGAGCGTCTATGCCGTGAGGCCAGGTGCTGGGGATTCAGAATTGAACAATATAGACACAGTCCCTGCTCTCAGGAAGTTCACATCGCAGTGGAGGAAAGAGACAGTAAAAAAGTAAATCAAGTACAGTTGACACTGAACATACAGGAGTTAGGGGTGCTGACCCCCCACACAGTCAGAGATCTATGTATAACTTTTGGCTCCCCCAAAACTTAACTATTAATAGCCTACTGGTGACCAGTAGCCTTACTGATAACATAAAGTTGACTTAACATGTTTTATGTGCCACATGTATTCTTACAATAAAGTAAGTTGGAGGAAAAAAAAATGTTTTTCAAATTGTTGCAAACCTCCAAAATATTTTTCAGTATTTATTGAAAAAATGTGCAACAAGTGGACCTGTGCAGTTCAAATCCCTGTTGTTCAAGGACCAAATGTATTTCCTAATTTTCACAAGTGCTATGAAGATACCCAACAGAATGGAGCTAAAGATAACATGGGAAGCTTCAATGGGAAGCTCAGGGAAGGTTTATCTCTAAAGGGGTGATGAAATGGTTAGAAGTAAGCTATGTGGTGGACAGATGATGCATGTAGCAAAAGGAGCCCAGTATGGAGAGTGGGGGTGTTAGGGATATAATTCCTTCTAAGGCAGAACATGCCCCCAAGTGCCCTGGGACAAGTTCTCAGGCCTGTCCCAGAACAGTTAGGAAGTTACTGTGAAGCAATGTTATCTCAGGGAGTATTAAAAAAAAAGCCTGCTGTCTCCCCAAGTCATCCCTTAAATATCGCTGCTAAAATTACTCCCTGGCCTCCTGGACACCACATGCACCTCTGTGGTGCCTCAGCTCCCCACTAGATGTGGGCACCAAGTTTACATTTCACACCCTTGAGCTCAAGGCTTTCATCACTTCACCTCTGCCCCAAGAGCCCTTTTTTCATCTCTGCCTCATGGCCCACTGCTTCCCAAGCCCATCTCTCATCAGCCCCATTGTCTCTCTGCCGCCTATCAACCACAAGTGAGAGAGCAGAAGAAACACACGGAATAAAACAGCAGAGTACGCACAGAAAGAGAGCTTTAACACTGGGGGACATGGAAGGGCAATGATGTGGCAGACAGACAGGCAGCATTTGGGCTCTGGAGGCAGCTGCTTCTGTTCTGCTACAAGAGTTCAAGACTAGAAGTTAAGAGACCTAATCTCAGTTTTGCCACCAACCTAAAAATGTGTCTATGAGCAAGACACATTTCCCTTCCAAAGCCTCCCTTTCCACAAAATGAAGAGGGTGAAGAGAATACATCTAATGTCTCCTTCTATGCTTTGCTTCTCTAGAAACAAAGCACTAAAGTGAAATCACTAGAAATTTTAGTAGGGAGAGCTGTCAACTGCCAACATCAAACTCAAAGAAAACCCCCACATTTGCCAAAATAAATGATAACAGTCAGCACTGTGGGGCAGAATAATAGTGTTTAAGGAGATGACAAATTCAAATCCTAGTTCTGCATACTGGACATCTCTAAGTAGGTATTTCCTAATCTGAAAAATGGGGATAAAAATAGAACCCACCTCTTAAGAGTGTTATGAGAAATAAATAAGATAATTTACACAAAACAGTCAGTACAATGTAAGCATGCAATAAAATGACAGGTATGACTATTAACAACCGGATTGCTCACTCAGTGTCAGACCCTGAGCTCTTCACCAGAGCTCTCTAATCTATGCTGCACCTAACAAATCAAAACTCCAGGGGTGAGGCCCAGGAATGTGTTTATGTAATAAGATCCCCAGAGGATTCTGAGAACCAGCTAGATTTGGCACACTCGCTTCAGCATGCCATACCAATTCAGTTGCACCTTCCTTACTTACCTAGTGCTTTGCTGATCTGTTTACCCAGAATTCTCAACAAGGCATAACCTGGTACAAGGCTACCCTAGGATCTCACTTAACTCTTAATGAACTCTAGTCACCTTCCCCACTTATCACTTCACCCTAGCACTTTCCAAGTACAACAAACTGCCAAACCAATTTCCTAAATCAGTGTTTCTAAAAATGGAATTCAACTGGTGATAGAGAAGAGGACGTTAGGGTGGAATGTAGACCTTTTTTTTAAGAACCACAAAATTTCTTCTATTTTAATACAAGAGTACAAACTCTGGAACCGTAGTGCCTAGATTCACACCCCGCTGCACCATTGGCTAATTGGTGATCTTGGGCAAGTTATTTAACCTCTCTATTTCCTAGCTGTAAATGGACTGATAATGGTGTTTATCTCATAGGGTTATTTTGAGAATTAAGTAAGTTATTACATAAACTAAAGAGCTTAGCATAAAACTTGGCACATAATTAGCTTTATATAAATATTAACTACTACTATTGTTATTCATGGCAAAGAGTACTGGTTTTCCATTTATATAGTGATTTAAATGTTCCCTTTAAAACTGCTTTAAAAATGAGTTGGTTTTAAGAATATATCTCTTTATCTCCTATAGCTCCAAATATGATGCCTGATCATACTATCTACTCCAACATTTATTTGCAGACAGATGGGTATTGGGTCATGAGCAGGACACCTCTGCCAGCAGGCACAGCCTTAAACATCCTTACCACAACATCTTCCAGGATCTTGGTAGGGCAAGGTCTGGAATGAAATTCAAAGTGTTCATCCTCGGGTTTCTTCCTTGACTCCCGCTCCTGGATTCTCTTCTCAATTTCCAAATCAAAGCCAACAGGCTGAGTAGGTGGCTTCACAGGTGGTTTCTTGGGCAAGATGGGTCCACCTTCAAGAATTCTGGGATCAAGTTCCCGTGCTTTGAATTTGTATCTGTAAGGTAAGAGTTTAAATGACACCCACAAAAAAAATTATTTTAATAAAATGAAAACCACATGAAGGAGGCCAAAAACAGAAAAATAATAATGATTAAGATTAGCTATCATGCACGGCAGTTTTCGACTCTATTCATAGCCATTATCTCTACCTCTAGAGCAAAGAATAAATGACAGTCCTAACATTCCCACCACTCTAAAGATTGAGTTTTTTCTTCACAGAGGAAGCTCCTCTTTTTCAAAAGAAATACAAAAAAGACTGGAAGGATACAGAGGACAAACTCCAGCGCTACCCACTTTTAAGTTCCAACTTCCTCCACTGATAACAATACCTGCGACAATCCCTTGGGTAGCCATAAAAGGGTAGAAGCTACCTAATCCAACCTCAGAGGACAACCCTTAGTTGGAATCATAAGTAAGTACTCCCACCCCAACCTTTGCATTAGTTTTTTGCCAGTTTATACTCCAGGACATCTCCATATTCCCACTTAAAATGCTTTCATCATAGAGGCAAGAGCACAGCCTGCAGAGTCCATGATTCAATCACCATAAATTCCCACGGCAAGGAAAATAACAACAGTCCCTTTCACAGAACTGAAATGAAAGTAGGCAAATTCTCAGAATTCTTCCTCGAATACTGCCAGTGGACTTACTGTTGCAATTTTTCGATCTCCTCGGCCTCCTGATCCACTGCACTTTTGCAGGTCACAGGCCTTGCACGCAGTTTGGTTTGTAGCACAGGAGTCTGTGGGTCTCTAGAAATCTTGGCCACAGCAGATTTGGAGGGTAACAGCGCTGTAAATTGAGATCACAGTCACCCAGCTCCCTGAGACCTTGTTACAACCTGAATAGAGCTCAGCTGTCCAGAGATGCCAAACCACAGAGTAGCTGGCCCTCCACTCAGCTCAGCTCTCATGAGTCCACCTGATAAACACTGAGTCCCTTCTTTCCTATCACTCTTTATTGAGGGATATGATGAAAGCAGCCTTTGGGTAAACTCTTGTCAAATACTGAACTTAAAATCCATAGTCTGATGGATTCCTTATAACTGAACAAGCCTAACAAGCCTATTAACAATGCAACTATCTTGTTTTATTGACATATGAGATTTTTGGTTATTCCAGCTTTAAAATAAGGCCTTTCTAAAGACCAAGTAATAAATCCCAATTTTATGAATTCCCTAAAAGCATCTAAATCAAAACATTAAGACCACTTCTCACAGAAAGTCAAATGGAGAAAGCAAAAAAACTATGTCAAAGCATCAATAATAAGACCATCACCACCACTCACTGAAAATACTGATTTACCTGGCCAGGAGCAACCTTGCCAATTTCATAATTATATAGAATGAACCCTCCCATTTAAATCTAATCACATAACAATGCAAGAGATAAACCAAATTACTTATTTTAGAAATAAGCCAGACTTCAAGTATACCTATAGCCATTATTTAGCTATAACTGTACAAAGTTTTAAATAAAAATTAAAGAAAACAATTTTTCTTTCTGTTTACCAGGACCAAGATTCTAAGAGCAGGGTATATCAGACTCTAAGAGTCACATATAATTAGGAAGGTCATGCTTAATATTTAAATTTCCATTAGGATAAAAGAAGACTTCAGTATTTTTATAATACAGAATTGACAATCAGCTACTAGAACATAATAACAATATTAAAAAATACTGTACTTAAAGGAACTCGCCTAGCTACCTGACACAGCACTAAACAATTTCTATGCAAGGGCGGAAAAAAATGAGACCTTCAAAGGCGAGATCACCAGATTCTGCTTTATCCAGAATGCTATAGGGATACACTAGACTATTTTATACCACTTCCATTTTTCAAATTCCTTTCTTTACCTTTCTTCCTATAGTAATTATTTTTATAAATATAGAAGCTATTAGATTAGAATCCTCTCATGTGTTCATCACCACATCACCCACCAGCATATGTACCCACTCCTCATTCTTCCATCCTCCTTTCAAAGAACAATCATCCCACCTGTACTAAGTATCCCTCTGCTACCTGCCTGCACAGGGACTACTCACTGGTTACGTCCTTTCTCTCCTGCATCAACTTCCTTCTCTGCCAGGGACTTCTCAGCATAGAGACATGCTCAACCTATCTCCACCTCCCTTGATCCTTATATCTCCCTCCACACTCACAGCAATTACCACAATTTGTAATGATGTATTTCTTTTTCTCTCTCTCATTGAACTGGAAACTCAATGTTCAGTAATACCAAGTCCATTTTGTTCACTTCTATACCCTCAAAACCCAACATAGTACTTGGACTATACTGCTAAAAAAATGTGTTGAATCACTCAATAAAAGCACACAACCTTGAATGAATGAAATGTCTTCATTTTCTATAGGTAAGTATACTATGACACTGGCATATGGCAAAGAAAGCCTTGATGCGTAATGACATCTCAAGTTACCTTAATTCTCCCTGGCTAATTGTTGACCAGGAGGATCAAGGTGGTTGATGTGTATAAATGGAAAGATAGCTAGGTGGTTTGGGAAACGCTCAACTATACATTTATTGTCTGCATATAGGCACATGTAATACTTTAGTTTAAAAGTTAGGATTTTAGCTAAAGGCAAATCTGTACTTAAGATGTAAGCAAAGGAAATTCTAGGGGAGGTTCCAGTTAGCTATGATATTGCTAAGAAACTTACTAATATCATCCTTCTTGCTCCTCAAGTGATATCTGTTGGGGGTTCGTTTGTGGAAGGCTTCGACCTGCTGTGCAAGAGGCACATATGTAGAAGATGTTTCATCAAATGTCCTTTTCTTTCCTTGGGACAGGTTGAAAGGCTTAATAATGGTACATCCCTTAATCACTCGGGCCTGTTAAAGAAAGAAATTGTTTCCCAAATAAAGTGTTATGGAAGAACTCAGATCTACCCAAGCCACATATTCAGTGCACACAATAAAAAAAAAAGGTCCCATGTAAAGCTAAGACTATTATTCTTAAATTTATCAGTTTTTGAGAAGAGATATAACCAGTCTATTCCCATTTTTTTTAAAAAGGGAGAAAGGATCTAGCACTTAACAACTGTCTGCTCTGCAATAGCCCTTAAGGCGATTTCTCCCAAGCATGTTAATGTTTGGAAGCAACAAGCACAAGTATTCTTAGAATTAAAAGGGAAAAGAGCTGCAAAGATATCCCACTCCTAATCCCATTTAAAAAAACTGGTTGGGCTTCTTAGTACAGACCAGGTCAGGCAGCTGCCTAATCAAAGAACCTCTCCATCTGTCGTCCCCAAAAGTGACTGATGAGGAAGTCTACTCTTTGGATCGTTAATTTTGATAAACCTGGCCTCTGTTTGAAAACAAAACTCTTCATGAACCTACATCTCGAAGGAAGAAGCACAACCCCAGGGCGTAAGACTACAAATGACTGATTTCAGCAAATAATGATGCTGACTGCAAATGCAAGTAGAATTTCTTAGTATTAGAGCTTTTATTTAAGATTACTAATTGCTTTGTTAGTGCTCTGGTAACAAAACTGCACAAGATTTGAGTGTCTGCTCCAACCCATTTTTCCCATAAACCCTGTTATATTTTATACATAATTTTGCAGACACAGATTTTTTTCAAGAATTTTTTAACTGCACAAGTTGTAACAACCCTGTGCCTACAATTTGCCACATATAACTCTATGTTTATGTACATTCTTGATTCAGTTTTCATAGCAACTTGGTAAGAAGATGTTTCCTATAAAGAGAGGTTTACCACACAGCTAATATGGGGTAAAGTGAGGATTTAGAGCTATCGTAACTCAAAAACATACTTTACACAATTACACTATTTTAAGTGTGATCATAAATACTACATGTGAAATCCTCACTGAATTAATAACAAGACTATTCATTTAGTCCATCAGCTTACAGGAGATGGAAGATGCTTTCGCAGTTCAGATGTAAAATTCACTTCCTTATACTCCTCTTGGTTCTTAGGATGTTGTTTGATTCGCTCATCTGTGCAGAAGTGGAAGTCAACCGATTTGGTTACCTGGCTCACTGACTTCTTCACAAGTTTCCCTGAGTGAGGAACAGAACAAAATATATAGTAACATTAAGAATACAGAACATCAGTAAATCGCCTTTTATCCAGTCCTTTTAGTATTTCTATTACCATGGATCTAACTTTGTTCACTCTCTTGCATATAACCCAAAATTTGAAACAGTCCCCAGGGACATTAATACATGTGCTTTACCCACTGGAGTACTATCGGGTTTGACGCCCTTCAGTCAGATGCAAGCTGTGAAGAGGTAGCATGGGGGAGAAGAATCTCATCTCTCCCAGATTCCCAGATGTAGTCACAGCTCTGGAGACACAGAGTAACCAGAATACATGTAATAGGAAAAGCTAAGAACTGACTTTAAAAGCACACTTAACTAAGCATCTCTAAAAGGGAAACCCTCTAAACTCCAGGGGTGCTCTTTCAACTCAGTAAGCAGAGCTTTGAAGCTCTGACTAAGCCAATAACATCTCTATGCCAGAGCAAAGCAGAACTGACCCCTTCAGCTTCCTCAGACATACTTTTCCTCCATAACTACAACTGGATTGGTTTGCTCGGCTTTCTTTTCCTCCCGCTAGGACAAAATGGGAGAACAATCACCAAAAACTGGCCTGCCCAATTGCTTTATCTTCTGTCTCAATCCTAGACCCATCTTTTTCCAATACAAAGAAATAGAATTAGAAGGAAAAAGGAGGGAGGAATTAATTCTACTTGAAGAAATGAGGGAAGTCCTCATGGAAAAAGCACTCAAAAGATGGGTGTGACTTCTATAATTAGAGGTGGACAGGAACAGCATGCTCTAAGAAAGGACCAGTGTATGTAAAATGCTTTATGGAATGATCGTTGGGATATAAATGGTACCCATGTCCAGCCTTCTAAATAAACATATCATTTTATTCTGACTATTGACAGAAAAAAAGCCATTTTTGCTTCAGAGACTTCAAAAAACCCTACCAAGATTATGAGAAGCACCCCTCATACATCACTCAACCAGAACCAAGCTGACCTGCTCCTGCGAGAGCAAGTTTCTTGAATTCTTCATTCTTTTTCCGCATCTCCACCACCTCCTGCTGCATTTTCATTGTTTTCTCCAGTTCTTTCTCCTCAGTACTCTTCAGAATCTTCTGCCTAAAGGGCAAATCAATAAAGGAAATAGGAGAGAAGAAGAAGGTTCAATGATTCAAAATAATCTGAAGACATTACATATATTAGATTTTTAGCCTGTGATAAAATAACCACCCAAACCATAAAGTAGCATTCAATAAATTGATACTGACTTAGATTAACACTATAAAAAAAATCAAGATGCACAATTATACCAAAATACTGAAGAATTTTCAGAAAAGACAGATAAAACAGATGATAGAAGATACTATAAAAGATTCACAAATTTGACTATATAGTTAGCTTTTATTGCCACAAGAAAAACTAAAATTAAAATACCAGTAGAATGGGAAAATGTCTGCAACAAATGTGGCAAACCATTAATATATATAGAATACATACTGTAATAAAGAGGACAGACTTAGGAGTACAGCCACCCAGAGTTCAAATCCCCACTGTGTAATTTCATTTTCTGCCTATGTAAGCCTGAGAAAACTATCCTCTCTGAGCCTGTTTTTGAAATATAAATACTCATCCTCATACAGTATTTGTGACTATTAAATCAGACGTTTCTGAAATACCTGACACATAGTAAAAGTTCAATTTAGAGTAGCCATTCTCAGCAATAAAAACATCACCAAGACAACTTCTAGATAAACAGAAAAAGAAACAGACGGTTCACAAAAGGAAATATGGAAGAGACATTTACAGTAGCAGTAATGAATCTTGTCAGCAATCAAGAAAAGGTTCTGCCTATAAAGATGCTCACTGATTACTGATAATAGTGAAAATTTTAAAACTACATTTTCAACAGGAAATGGTTAAATATAATTTGGTGGAATATTAACAATCTATCAAAAGAGGAAATATGTGAAGATTTTATAGCAGTACAGGAAAAAAAAATGAAATACTCTTGTGACAAGTGAATAAAATGGAACCCAAAGGTTGCTTATACACTGATTATGGAAATATGTATTTTACTTAAGTAAAGACCGGAGGAGAGCTTTGCAAAATAAAAACTTCAAATTAGGTAGTAAGAACCTTTATTAACTTTTTCCTTTCTTAGTTCTTCTAATTTACTCTAATAGTATATTTTTTCTTGATATTTTAGACTAGAACACCCACCAGGACATAAAACAATTCACCTGACCAAGGTTAGAGATTAAGGAGTTTCCTAAGCTCCCTGTGTACCAGGCAGCAGATGTATCATTTGTAGTTTTATTTATTGACTTTATAAAGTTTAAATTCAGGAAAGAAGCATACATAACAGGTGGTATATAAGACACAGTATTTCTACCCTTGGCTGTCTCTTGGGAAGACTCATTCTTTTCAGAAGTAGCTTGGTGAAGACTGCCTTCATCCTCTTTCTCTGGCTTCTTTTTATCGTTAGAACTTGAATTCAAAAGGACAAAAAATATTCTCTGAATTCCCTAAAGAATACCCTGCTCTGTCCTCCTCTCAAATCTATCACATGTGGCTTAAATTTCTTCATTCTTTAGGACATAAAGCATCTTCAACTGCAAGATTCTTCCAATAGTATCATCAGATCATATATGCCAATGGCTACAATAGGTAAACTTTGAGAACACCAATAGAAGTCAAAGTAAGAGCTCTCTGGTAACAAACGGTTCAGGAGGGTCTAAGGGGATTCAACTGCTCATCAATAAATTCACAAATGGCAGACACTTAGTTGCCTTCCCGATATCTAGTCCACTTTCTTATTAACAGAACTCTAATTTTGTTTGGAACAGCAATGTATGAAGGCAACAGTATTGTACTTGCTTCGACAGCCTCTCCTGCATCTGGGTGGGTGGGTCAGGGTAGGGGTGATGGTGCTCCAAATGACGGTTGGGCAACTGAGATATAAAAGGGTTTCTGGAAAATATTTCACTTCTGTGATATGGGTACTGCCCCTCTTCCTTTGCCATACCCTCCTCCTCTTGAACATGGATGTGACACCTTAGAGATACAGCAGCTATTTTGTAACAGTGAAGCAACAAGCACAAAGAAGCAGCTGAGAAACACAGAGCTGCCATCTTGAGCAACAAGTGTGGGGAAAAAAAGCTAAGACTCACAGAAATGCTGCCCTAGCATTGTTCAGTCACTGAACCAAGGTCAACAGCAAACTTCTGTGAAGCAAATAAATCATTATTCTTTAAACCACTCTAGCTGGTTTACCCTAAGCTATTACTTAGGGTAAAATACAGTCGTAACTGATACAAATCGGAACAAGCACTATGTATTTTGCTTGCTATCAACAACAGGAACAAACAGGGGTAGAACCTATGCCAACTGACAGAAGCTGTGGCTACTTACACTTTCATTTTTTTGGAGGGTGGAATTTCACTGATGGTCACAGGAGTAGCACATCTCTTGGCTTTCATTTTTACATGGTGTTTTTCTTTCTGTTCCACAGCCTTCTGAGCAGAGAGTCTAAGAGATCTTCTGTGGTTTAGAAGAATTGACGAATTTATCTGAATTATCTACTACAGATAAACAAATGTTCCTCAGAAATATGAAAGTATGTCAAACTATAAAGGGGCTACAGAAAGTTTAGTGGTATTATTTCCACTTTAAAAATGTATTCTCTCCTTATCTTACTGATAGTTTTTAAAATTTCATCATAAAATGTTGGTACTTAAATGCAATTGATATTTGTAAATTAGACCTCAATAGAGCTGATTTCTTTTCTTTAAAAAGGCACTGGCAATAACCTAGTACAACTCCCTCCTTTTATAGGTAAGAGTAAAAATAACAAAAGATGACATGTCTTGACTCTGCTACAGAGCTAATTGCTATCAGACTTGAAATTAGAGATCAGCTCTCCTGGAAACTGATTAAGGTATTTATTTTCTCCTTGTTCTTTTAGGCACATCCCCCTTCTTTGTAAAATATAACACATATGAAAAAATGTACAAAATAAAAATTAAGTTAAATGATTACTAAGTGAAGACTAATGAAATCACCATCTAGGCTAAGAAACAGAACCCTGGCAGCAACTGCTGTCTTGACTTGTTTTACAGTAGTCATTACTTTTTACTTATCATTTTACCACATAAGCATTCATTTCATATACATGGCACATTAGTTTGTAAACAAAACACCAAATAACAACCACAAAAACTTTATATGATGTACTCAGGCTACTGCAAGTATTCTTTTGTCTGGTTTATTTCACTCAACATTATGTTTGTAAGAGTTAATCACATTGACTCATGTATCTTTAGTTCACTGACTTTTCAATGCTGTATAACATTCATTGTAGGAATGTACTGCTATTTATCCAGCCTACTGTTGATTCTTGTGTGTCTCTTGGTGCAGATGTGTACATGTTGCTGTTGAGCATATTAAGTTGTAAAATTGCAAAGTCACAGGACATTGATTATACCAACTAAAGTTGTTTTCCAAAGTGTACCATAAAATGGTGCAGCTACTACAGAAAAGCAGTATGGAGGTTTCTCAAAAAACTAAAAATAGAAATACCACATAATCCAGCAATTCCCCTTCTGGGAATTTACCCAAAGAAAATGAAATTACTAATTTGAAAAGATATTTGCATTCCTATGTTCATCTCAGCATTATTTACAATAGCCAAAATATGGAAGCAAACTAAATGTTCATCAATAGATGAGTGGATAAAAAAAGATGCAGTGCATATATACAACAGAGTATTACTCAGCCATAAAAAAGAATGAAATCTTGCCATTGGTGACAATATGGGTGGGCCTAGAGGGTATTATGTTAAGTGGAAGAAGTCTGACAAAGACAAATACCATATGATTTCACTTGTATGTGGAAACTAAAAAAAAACTAACATATAGATTCATAAGCACAGAGAACAGACTGGTGGTTACCATAGGGTAGGGGTTGGGGGGAATGGGTGAAAGGAAGGAAAAAATTAGTGAGAATGTTTGATACCCTGATCTGGGTGATGGTTAAATGAGGGTATACGTATGTCAAAATTCATCAAGCTGTACACTAAGATACACGCATTTTATTTTATGTACCTCAATAAAAGAACAACACAAAGTGCTTGTACCCATTTATACTTATACTGGCAAGTGTGTAAGAATGCATTGCTCTACAACTTCCTGAACACTTGCTATTGTCAGATGATTTAAATCTAGCCAGTAACAGCAACTGGAAATGGCGGTGGAAAATCCTGGAAGTGAAAGAGCTACAGAAAAGACATCACCCAAAATCTGAGCAAAAACAGCACAAATTCCTACTTGACTGCTAAACTTTGCATGTTTAGGGGAGACCCAGAGGCCCAGCAAAAAAGCAAGCAAAAACTGGTGAGGTATCCACCCTTAAAAGACATAACTGTGCCAGGTAAGACTTGAGTTTGCTGCTTTTTTTTATTACATGTATTCCCCGCTGTGTATATTGTAGAATGGTACAAACCCAAAGTTATACTAGCTTAAGTTGTCAGAAGACAAACATTTGGGATGACAAAACAGCTGGATATTGAGAGACAAAACTCCAGAAGCAAGAGAACCAGAGGGTGAACACTCAAACTTCGTTATAAACACTACTCAAAGTCTTAGCTGACCGTTGACCTTCATAAAGCAGCGGGGAGACTCCAGAAAGCTAGACTGAGAAAGCAGCAGCCATATATAGAGATATGTGAATGGTCATGTATCATGAAATGTAATCAGCATCATTAGTCATAAATGCATATTAAAAACACAATGAAATATTTTTAAAAAGACTGACAATACCAAGTGTTGGGTAAGATGTGAAGCAACCAAAACTCATATATTGCTAGTGAGAATGTAAAATGGTACACTTTGGCAAACTATGGTTTTTTTCTAATAAGCACACACTTAACAGTGTGGCCCAGCAATTCCACTCCTAGGTATTTATTGAAGAGAAACTCAGATCCTCATAAAGACCTATAGCAAAACCTACAGGTTGCTGAGGGTGCTCCCCAAATATGGCAACAACGCCTAGCAGCTTTATTTATTACCCCAAACTAGAAGCAATTCAGATGTCCATTAACCAGTTAATGGATAAATTGTGGTATATCCATTCAAAGAATTTATTATCAGGCATGAAAAGGAACACAATACTAATATATGCAATGACACGGATGAATCTTAAAAGCACATGCTAAGTGAAAGAAGTCAGATATAAAAGTATATATTATAAAATTCCATTTACAAAAATATCTAGGACAGGAAAAACTAATCTATGGTGACAAATTAGAACAATGGTTGCTTCTGGGTGGGAGGTGACAGAGTAAGAAGGTAGGGAGAGCAGTAAGGTAGATAAGCAGTAATTGACTGTAATGGGACAGAGATGAGGCAACTTTGTGATGATGGAAATGTTCTATACATTTTGATTATGTTGTGGTTGCATGTAAGTATATATTTGTCAAACTTAATCAGACTATGTACTCAAGATCTATTCATTTTACTGTGTGCAAATTATACCCCAATAAGGTTGATTAATGATTGTGCATTGAGTTCCCTATACAGAATTTTATTGTTGTTAGCAACCATTTGATCAATAAATATGAGAGATAACTCTCAAAAAAAAAAAATTATACCCCAATAAAATTAATTTTTTTAAATGGACTGGAAATCATAAAAATTAGAAAGAAGGCAAAGTGTATGAAGACATAACCATTTTGGACCATTCATTAAATTCAACATATAATGACATTATCTTTGAAGAAAAGAATTGCTGGGTATCTTTAGGGAGAAATGGCTAGGGGATAAAATTCCAAAAATTAAAACATGTATCTCTGGTAAAACAACACCTCCATGGAATAACTATTATTATAGACTAAGGCCTTGTTTACTCTTAACTATTCTGTGTCAAACAAGTTTTGGTCATCTTTTAGCCTATCTATCTAAATTATGTGAAAATAAAATATTTGGAAATTTGTATGATTATCTACACCTTCATATTCTCTCTGCTGTCCAGATTAGGTAACTCTGGACTAAGATAAATCTGAGATCTGAGATGAATGGCACTGATGTTTTACATCCTACTATGCATTCTCATAGTGCAGTATCATTTATGAAGTACTGTCACATATTATCTTTTTAGGCCCTTTCTTACAATAAGCTTGAGAGATACAGTTATCTTCAGTAAACTGAGGTTGTGAGTGGTAGAGGTACCTGCCTTAAAAACAAAACAAAAAAACCATTCAGATCTTCTAACTCTGAGAGCAACTAGCTTCCTGTCATACCATCATTTCCAAAAAGCATTCCAGAATCCAGATGAGGAACACCTTTAGTAATCATATGTTTATACAAAATGGAGAAGCCAAGACACACACTTGCTTGGATTCTGAAGGAATCTATAGGACACTAGTTTCTTTTTCCATTGGCCTCACTTCACAGTCTAAACATGGAACAGAAACTATAGAATCAATCTATAGCAAACTCTTAAGACTCCTGTAATATATACATAGCTGGTTGAGATTTCATAGAATTCTTTGATTAAAATGGTCTCCTTTACCAGAAAAGATTAAGATAACATGTATGATACCATCCTCAAAAGATGATACCCTTATGCCTGCACGAGACTTTGCAAAAGGTAATTTTATCACTTCTGAACAATATTATAAATACTCTGCCATTCCTCTTCCTTGAAGATATTCTAGGTGACATAAAAGTATGAAACAATCAACAGTCCTGCAGTGTAAACTCTATGGGTGGGTGGTAATGATTAGATGGTGGAAGTTTTAAAAAATCTGAATAGATACTTTTAATTAGACCCATCTGAAGGCAACTTATGTTAAGACTGACAGCTCCCAAACACCATGTTTTTGTTATCAAAAAGAGGTTACTGATGCAAAATGCAACATTCGAAGACATTAGATGTTCTGAGTTCACTAATGCCAAGGTTGCAGCTTAACCCACCCATTCCTCCATTAGCTCATTCATCAAGTATTAATTCAGCTTCTCCTGCCAGACACTGTTAGGCACTAAGGATACATGATACTTGCCCTTATGAAGTTTACTTACAACCAATATATAGAAAAAAAAAAATCTGTCATATACTCATAAAAATGTAAAATTTCAACCCATGTTGACAGTGTAAACAGCAGGGGTTTTGGAACCAAAACTTATCAGTTTAAATCCTGATAAAATTGCTTTGGGGAAGCAACTTAGTTCCTCTGAACATTTATCTATAAATTAAACATATTTCCTACAACATATTAAATGCTATGAAGATTAAAAAAGGTAATATAAAGAGTCTAACGAATATAGTATAGGACAGAGTAGGTTCTCTATCCAGTAACTGTTCTTTGAACATTATTAATATAACTACTACTTTTGAGCCCCAAAGCAGTCTTACCTCTGAGGCTGGGCTGGAGTATTTCTTGAGGTGTTTTCCATGACTTCCAGGGAAGAACAAGCATTTGATGGAATGGACTGGTCCACCAAATTTTCTTTTTCTGCCTCTTTGTAATAAGTATTGTCAACTGTAGGAGAGCAAAAACTAGTCAGCACTCCAAATCCAAGGAAATAAGTTGGAGATGGGAGACACATCTATGTATTTTGACTCACTACAGAATTCTAGATCAAAATTGTATATGCATGCATGTGTGTGTATACATATATACATAACCCTCTTAAGCAGTAAAACTTTTAGTTCCAGTGGAATCTCATGCAGAAGACCAGTTTACAAAGGCTACTTTAGTTGAAACAGAAATATAGTATCCAGGGCCCTGCCTATTTACCAGCCTAAGGCATCACCTTAGAAAAAAGCATCCCAAACACATCCTCATGACATTTTAAAAAGGTAAGACTCTGAAAGCTTCCATAGAGAAAAGAAATCACCTAAAATGTAAGGGAAATGGGATAAGCTAAATTCCTCATTAGTAACACAGGATGGTAAAAGAACAACAATACCTTTAAAGTAGTCAAAAAATTTTTTGATTTTCAACTGTATAGGTGGAACAATGAATGACATTTTCAGACACGTGAGAACTCAAAAATTCCCTGCTACACCTAGTCTTAGGAAGTTCCCTGAAGATACACTCCTGCAGAATGAAGTACAAATGAAAAAATACAAAAAAGAAATAAGCTTCAGGAAACAAAGCAGAAAAGATATTATAAATATTAAGAAAGGCTATGCTCTCCAAAAAAAAAAAAAAATGACAGTTATAACCTGCAAGGATCACTGTTCAATATGAAGTGGGCTACAGTATAACAAAAATTTAAGTAATCGGTAAAGCTTAAAGAGACTCTACCTGACCTTGATGTTTTCTGTGGCCCAGGGATTGTACCAAAGAAACTGAGGAGAACCAAGGAGAACCAAGAAGGAATAAGTTACATCACACTAACTGACCTGGCATCAAACAGTATTTACACAATCATAATAATGAAAATGTTGATGATATAATCATATTATCAGACATAATGGCTGTAACCACCAGTTTGATTTAAACAGTTGAGAGTTAAAAGATACAGCATTTAAGAAAAGGGAATGGGTATAAGGGTGGAAAGGGGAAGGAGGTATTTTATATTCTGATAGTATTCTGATGTTACCATGGTCATTGTGAATCAGAAACAGAAAAAAGTACTATGAAAATAATGAGAATGGAAAAATCATATAAAGAATCATGGTAAAAATAGCACTTGATGGTATAGCTTAGGAACTAAGACTTGATAAAGAAGAAAATGCTAACCAGATGACAGGGAAAAAAATCAGGCACTGAAAATACATTTCATACATTATTTATTATTGAGAACAATTATTTGGCTCATTTCCTAAAGAAACTTTTTTTGTAGAAGGGAATAAAACATAGAAACTAAAAATGATTGTATATTATGTCAAGTCTACAATAGAGACACTTAACTTCAATTCTTCAATTAAAAGGCAGAGATGACTATATTAAATTGAAAAAAAGCAAGCCACAACAACATACTGCCTACAAGAAATGCATTTAATATATAAACATACATCATGCTAACACTATAATCAAAAGAAAGCTGGAGTGGCTATATTAATATCAGACAAAGTAGATTTCAGAGCAAAAAATGTCACCAGAGATAAAAAAGATAATCTCACAGTGATAAAGTGGTCAATTCAACAAGATGACATAACGACCTAAATATTAATGCACATAACAGAGCTTCAAAATATATGAAGCAGAACCTACAAGGACAAATAGACAAATCCATAATTATACTCTGAAATTTCAATCTCTTTCTCTAGTTGATGGAACAAGTTACAGAAAAAAATCAGTAAAATATAATAGCCATAAATAATATATAAGCAAATATGCATGGCTGTATGCCAATAAAACTTCATTTACAAAAATATGTTGTGGTCAACTCATCAAGATGATGTAACAACTATAAACTTATGTGTACCTAACACCAGAGCCTCAGACACACTAAGGAAAAACTGACAAAACTGAAGGGAGAAATAGACACTTCAACTACAACTTCAATATCCCCACTTTCAATAATTGATAGAACAATCAGGAGATCAATAAGGAAATAAAAGATTTGAGCAACACTATTGACCAACTTGATCCCAACTGACATTTATGTAACTCTCCACCCAGTGACTACAGAATATACATTCTATTGGAGTACACACAGAACACTTACCAAGACAGACCATATTCTGACCATGAAACAAGTCTCAATACATTTAAAAGGATTTAAGTCACATAGGTATGTTCTTTGACTATAATGCAATTAAATCCCTCAGGAAATCAGAAACAGAAAATATTTTTGGCATCCCCCAAATACTTGGAAATTAACCCACCTCTAAATAACACATAGGTTAACTTGCAGCTAGTAGATAAGTAAGTCCTGGAGCTCTAATACACAGCACAGAGATTATAATCAATAATACTGTATTATAAACTTCAAAGTTGCTAAGAGACTAGATCTTAATTGTTCTCACCACAAAAAAGAAACAATAGTTATGTGATGTAATAGAGATGTTAATCATATTGCAATGTATAAATGTATTAAATCAACACATTGTACACCTTGAAATTATACAATGTTATATGTCAGTTAAACCTCAAATGTAAAAAACTACATGGGTCAAAGGTAATATCAAAAGGGAAATTAAAAGGGTTTTGAATGTAATGAAAATGGAAACACAGCACATCAAATTTGTAGGACGGCACTAACCAATACTTAGGGGTAAATTTACAGCAGTAAACATTAAAAAAGAAGAAGGATCCCAATGACTTCAGTTGCTACCTTAAGAAACTAAGAAAATAATAATAATAAGAGCATACTAAACCCAAAGTGAGTAGAAAAAGCAAAATAATAAAGATCAGAATGGAAATCAATTTGAGATAGAAAATAGAAAAAAAATAGAAACAAAAATCAACTAAACAAAAAGCCTGTTTTTTGAGAAGTTTAGTAACACTGATAAATCTCTAGCCAGATGAATTAGGAAAATAGAGATAAAAAACTACCAAAATCAGGAATGACAGAGGTGGCACCACTACAAAATCCATAAAAATCAAACAAATAATAAAATATTCTCAACAACTTTTTGCCTATAAATTCAACAACTTAGATGAAATGGACAAATTACTTTAAGGCAAACTACCAAGAAAGATAATCTACATCAATTAAAGAATTTGAATTTGTAGTTGAAAACCTTCCTATAAAGAAAACTCTAGACCCAAATGGCTTCACTAGTGAATTCTACCAAACATTTAAGAAAGATATAATATCAATTCTACAAAATTCTTCCAGAAAAATGAAGAGAAGGGAATAGAGTAAGGCAGCATCACTCTATCAAAATCAAACAAGAGAATCACAAGGAAAGCTACAGACCAATATCTCTCATGAATAACAGATGCAAAAATTCTTAACAAAAATGTGGCAAATTAAACCTAAAAACATATTTTTTAAAATATATCATAACCTGGATTAATGATTGTACATTGAGTGTTGACCCCCCTATACTGAATTTTATTGTTGTTAACAACCATTTGATCAATAAATATGAGAGATC